CCTATTTATTTTTCCTTGTTTCTGTATGAGAAACAACAGTTTCACACCTCATGCCCTCTCCTGCTGGCTCAACATTTGGCACTTCACTTCTACTTCCAGTTCCTCAGCATTCACACCACCTATTGTCTACAAGATTGCTGTCACACCCTTTGAAGACCTGTCAAACTTGATGGACATTTACATGTGAACAAATAATCACACCTCAGAAGTTTCTCCAAAAACACAGATGGCTCTTGACAGAAAGATCAGATAGTCAGGTACCACCCATTGGAAAAGCATATAAATTGTATTAGAGGGCCCTAGTTAGACAGAGCATTACTTTGAATCCAACACCATGTATTGTTCTGCTCTCCCTGCATGGAGGTCTAGCTACATGCTTGTATAATAAACATCTACTTTTCAATCCGGCTTCAGCAGTCAAAATGTTACTGAAACCCATGAGTTTTGGGTTTCCCCGTCAGGCATATACACTGGAAAATACACTAGGACAGAATGAAAAGGGTCCCACAAACTGTGATGAGAAAATAGGATGAGTTCCTAAGGTCATTACTATCAAACACTTGTAAGACAGTCTCCCAGGTGTCATTGGACACACTCTCACTGGCTTACCACATAATGTGATCCTCCATAATGAGTGGTCATATGTGCACAATGAAATTTCCCGATGAAAAGGACACTCTCTCTCAGCCTCCCCTCATCTAAGAGATACCAGGAATTTTTCTGCTAGTTGTCACCATATACATCCACAACATGCAGAGAACTGCTGCACCACTGGGAATTAGCTCAGCAGGACCTATGCACATATGATAAAAGTGACACTCTACATACTGTAAAACCACCCACAAAAGGGCAATTATTAAGTCTAAACGCTTAAAAATATCCATAAGTAACCCAGCAAATTACATGGTACAGCGATATGGAATTCCAGCATCAACGATGCTTCCTTCGAACATGCTCAGTAGAGTGTATCCAGGTCTGCCCTAGTGGTTTCGTCGCAAATGACATCATCGGAGCAATTAAATAAATATAAGATCTAGAGAAAAATAAGCATTTTGAAGGATGCCAATCTGTCAGTCCAGGAGAGGTTTTTAAGATTTTTAAGTTCTGTGGACAATTTGCTTATGAGTGGTTTAAAATTGCATCAGCTGGTGATGTTGATTTGGGTGTTAAGATGATTCCTAAATATGGTATCCCTTTATCATTACATGTAGAGATGAGCGAATCGAATATGGCGAAGTGGAATTTGTTTCGAATATTGTGAAATATTCGATTCGCGCTGAATCCGAAAATTAGCCAACTTCGGATGCACGAATCGAATTTTCCCAAAAATGGCGGCGACATGTGTGGCGACGGAGCGGGGATCTCTGGGAAGGCGCGCAGACAAGGCGCGCTGACCCATAATGCATTCATTCATGACATGTGATCGCATTAGCCAATCAGCAGCCAGCCAGCCAGCACTGTGTAATGGTGGAGCTATAAATTGCGGCCATCTTACAATTCTCCATTAGCCTCCGGTCATTCAAGAGAGACAGACCTGTCTGTATTAGGGACAGAGTTAGGGCCAGAGAGACTTTAGGGCCACAGAATCGTTACTTAGGGACACAGAATCGTTACTTAGGGACACAGAATCGTTACTCAGGGACACAGAATTGTTACTCAGGGACATAGAATTGTTACTCAGGGACAGACACAGAATTGTTACTCAGGGACACAGAATTTTTACTCAGGGACACAGAATTGTTACTGAGGGACACAGAATCGTTACTGAGGGACACCAAATTGTTACTCAGGGACACAGAATTGTTACTCAGGGACAGACACAGAATTGTTACTCAGGGACACAGAATTGTTACTCAGGGACACAGAATTGTTACTCAGGGACAGACACAGAATTGTTACTCAGGGACACAGAATTGTTACTCAGGGACACAGAATTGTTACTGAGGGACACAGAATTGTTACTCAGGGACACAGAATTGTTACTGAGGGACACAGAATTGTTACTCAGGGACAGACAGAAGAATTGTTACTCAGGGACACAGAATTGTTACTCAGGGACACATAATTGTTACTGAAGGACACAGAATCGTTACTCAGGGACACAGAATTGTTACTCAGGACAGACACAGAATTGTTACTCAGGGACACAGAATTGTTACTACTCAGGGACACAGAATTGTTACTGAGGGACAGACACAGAATCGTTACTCAGGGACACAGAATTGTTACTCAGGGACACAGAATTGTTACTCAGGGACAGACACAGAATTGTTACTCAGGGACACAGAATTGTTACTCAGGGACACAGAATTGTTACTGAGGGACACAGAATCGTTACTCAGGGACACAGAATCGTTACTCAGGGACACAGAATTGTTACTCAGGGACAGACACAGAATTGTTACTCAGGGACACAGAATTGTTACTCAGGGACACAGAATTGTTACTCAGGGACAGACACAGAATTGTTACTCAGGGACACAGAATTGTTACTCAGGGACACAGAATTGTTACTGAGGGACACAGAATCGTTACTCAGGGACACAGAATCGTTACTCAGGGACACAGAATTGTTACTCAGGGACAGACACAGAATTGTTACTCAGGGACACAGAATTGTTACTCAGGGACACAGAATTGTTACTCATGGACACAGAATCGTTACTGAGGGACACAGAATCGTTACTGAGGGACACAGAATTGTTACTCAGGGACACAGAATTGTTACTCAGGGACACAGAATTGTTACTGAGGACACAGAATTGTTTACTCAGGGACACAGAATTGTTACTCAGGGACAGACACAGAATTGTTACTCAGGGACACAGAATTGTTACTGAGGGACACAGAATCGTTACTCAGGGACACAGAATTGTTACTCAGGGACACAGAATTGTTACTCAGGGACAGACACAGAATTGTTACTCAGGGACACAGAATTGTTACTCAGGGACACAGAATTGTTACTCAGGGACACAGAATCGTTACTCAGGGACACAGAATTGTTACTCAGGGACACAGAATCGTTACTCAGGGACACAGAATCGTTACTCAGGGACACAGAATCGTTACTGAGGGACACAGAATCGTTACTGAGGGACACAGAATCGTTACTCAGGGACACAGAATCGTTACTCAGGGACACAGAATCGTTACTCAGGGACACAGAATCGTTGAATTAAAGAGTATGTCAGACAACAGGCAGAGGAGTGGCAGAGGAGGCAATGTTTCAGGAGCGAGCAGACGTGGCAGCAGAGGAAGGGGTCGAGGCAGCACTAGTCGCAGCCAGAGGCCAGTGCTCCCGGTGTCATCCAGCGGTCGTGTCTCCAACGACAACCCTGCCGTCATCGATTGGTTGGCTCGGTCGTCTTCCTCTTCCCAGGTCACCTCTGACACCTACAGCCAACGGTCGGTGGGTACGTCAGACACAACCGTTAGTTGGCATGGCCCGGGAGCAAGCCCACTGAAATCACGTGTCCTCTACCTGCCCCTGTCCTTTGGTGTTCCCTCACCAAGCGAAGTATTGCATGCTGTGGGCTCAGCCCCACTGTACAGTGAGGAAGAGCTAACAGAGGGCGGTCAGGAACGGGGGGAGACATCCGCCTCTTCAGCAGCCAGGCGAAGAAGTACTGGCAAGGAGAGTGGCTCGGTAGCCGGTCTAGAGACAGGTCTGTCTCCTGACCCACACGCAGCCGAGGGGGCTAGTAGTGAGGCGGAGACCCTAATTGATGATGATGAGGCTGATCGCACTTGGCAGCCTCGTCGTCATCAGGCTATTGCTTCCGCATCATCAGGAGAAGAGGGTGCCAGCTTGGCCCGTAATCTGCCATGGGCCCCCATACCGACTCCTCATGGGTCTGCTGCCAGGCCCGTAATCTGCCATGGGCCCCCGTACCGACTCCTCATGCTGCTGCCAGGCCCGTAATCTGTCATGGGCCCCTGTACGGCCTCCCATTGCTGCTGTCTCCATCGCCACACTCTGCCATGTGCCACTTTCAGGTCTCCTCACACTGCTGGTGGGTTCCATTTTTGTCATAGGGTGCTGGCAGATTACGGGCCTCCCATTGCTGCTGCCAGGCCCGTAATCTGTCATGGGCCCCTGTACCGCCTCCTCATGCTGCTGCCAGGCCCAGTAATCTGTCATGGGTCCCTGTACGGCCTCCCATTGCTGCTGTCTCCATCGCCACACTCTGCCATGTGCCACTTTCAGGTCTCCTCACACTGCTGGTGGGTTCCATTTTGTCATAGGGTGCTGGCAGATTACGGGCCTCCCATTGCTGCTGCCAGGCCCGTAATCTGTCATGGGCCCCTGTACCGCGCCTCCTCTGCTGCTGCCAGGCCCGTAATCTGTCATGGGTCCCTGTACGGCCTCCCATTGCTGCTGTCTCCATCGCCACACTCTGCCATGTGCCACTTTCAGGTCTCCTCACACTGCTGGTGGGTTCCATTTTGTCATAGGGTGCTGGCAGATTACGGGCCTCCCATTGCTGCTGCCAGGCCCGTAATCTGTCATGGGCCCCCGTACCGACTCCTCATGCTGCTGCCAGGCCCGTAATCTGTCATGGGCCCCTGTACCGCCTCCTCATGCTGCTGCCAGGCCCGTAATCTGTCATGGGTCCCTGTACGGCCTCCCATTGCTGCTGTCTCCATTGCCACACTCTGCCATGTGCCACTTTCAGGTCTCCTCACACTGCTGGTGGGTTCCATTTTGTCATAGGGTGCTGGCAGATTACGGGCCTCCCATTGCTGCTGCCAGGCCCGTAATCTGTCATGGGCCCCTGTACCGCCTCCTCATGCTGCTGCCAGGCCCGTAATCTGTCATGGGTCCCTGTACGGCCTCCCATTGCTGCTGTCTCCATCGCCACACTCTGCCATGTGCCACTTTCAGGTCTCCTCACACTGCTGGTGGGTTCCATTTTGTCCTAGGGTGCTGGCAGATTACGGGCCTCCCATTGCTGCTGCCAGGCCCGTAATCTGTCATGGGCCCCTGTACCGCCTCCTCATGCTGCTGCCAGGTCCAGAGTGTCTCATGGGTCCCTGTACGGCCTCCCATTGCTGCTGTCTCCATCGCCACACTCTGCCATGTGCCACTTTCAGGTCTCCTCACACTGCTGGTGGGTTCCATTTTGTCATAGGGTGCTGGCAGATTACGGGCCTCCCATTGCTGCTGCCAGGTCCGTAATCTGCCATGGGCCCCTGTACCGACTCCTCATGCTGCTGCCAGGCCCGTAATCTGTCATGGGCCCCTGTACCGCCTCCTCATGCTGCTGCCAGGTCCAGAGTGTGTCATGGGTCCCTGTACGGCCTCCCATTGCTGCTGTCTCCATCGCCACACTCTGCCATGTGCCACTTTCAGGTCTCCTCACACTGCTGGTGGGTTCCATTTTGTCATAGGGTGCTGTGTGGCCTCCCATTGCTGCTGCCTCCACCGCCACACTGTGGCTCCCACACTCTGGTTTTGGCCCTGTGACTGCCCAAATGAGTGAAGTGTGCGGTGATTCTAAGATCGACGGCACTCATCTGCATGTCATACTGACTGACAGTATTATTTCTCTTCCCCAGCAGACTCCAAGGGCATTTAAATTAAAGGTACAGTGTTCTGCACTAATATAAAGGCTCTCTGAAGCCTAGAAACACCCTTTTTTATAAGTTAAATTCGCAGCGAATATATTCGACTCGAATCAAATTTATTCCATGAATTCGCCGAATCAGCCGAATCGAATTTTTGAATACTTCGCTCATCTCTAATTACATGCATAGGGGAATTTTGTAAATATACTTTAGAGGCTAGGTCTAGTACTATGTTGAGCAATAATGACTTGGAGAAGTTCACCTTATAGTAAAATAAGGTGCTAAAGTGTGTCAGGACCTGATATGCTATGGGTAAGGAACAGGGGCGGACTGACAACTCATGGGGCCCCCGGGCAGTAAGAGATAATGGGGCCCCCTGTTCCCCCACCTACACTCAAGCCACACCCACACAACACCCTACCTACATATTGCAGCTCAGCTGCATAGAAGGGGCATTTAAATATTTACTGCAGCAAATTCTGCATGAATGTTGCCAGCTTCCTTCTGTAGAAGCCACTGGGCACTTCCAGGTTTAAAGATGGCTACCATGTGGGGGAAGTGAAAGAGAGAGGGGAGTGAGAGGGTGAAAGAGAGAGGGGAGTGAGAGGGTGAAAAAGAGGAGGGGTGTGAGAGAGAGAGAGAGAGAGAGAGAGAGAGGACGGGATGAGAGAGGATGGGAGTGTTTTAAATTGCACAAAAAATTGGGCATGGCTTAAAAGGGGTGTGGTTAAATAGTGTCTGAGATGACTTACAGTATATAGTGCAGAATGAGGTAATGTTAAATAGGGAATGTACAGTGTGGTGTGTATGACAGTAGGTAGTATGTACAGGGAGAGGAGTGCGGAGTGTATGGCTGTGGATAGTATGTGTAGGATGGTGTCAGTAGGTGGTGTTAATAGTTATTAATTTTTATTAGTATTATTTTTTTTTTTTTTACAATTTTATGATTTTTTTTTACAAATTAATGTTTTATTATTGTTATCATTTTTTTTCAAAATGCTTTTGGGTGGCCAATGGATGGTGTCAGTAGAGCAATGGTGTGGGTGTCAGAATATTTTAATTTTTATTATCTCATTTTATTATTTTTTACAATTTATTTCTGTATTATTTTTTTTCACAAAATATATTGTGGGGGCAGTGGACAATGGATGGATGGAGGAAGGAAGGAATGAAGGAAGGAAAGAAAATGGATGGACAAAGTAATGAAGGTGAAGGAGGGAAGGGGAGGGGAGGGAGGAAGGAAGGAAGGAAGGAAGGAAGGAAGGAAGGGAAGCAAATGAAAGGAGGGGAGGGAGGTAGGAAGGAAATGTAAGGAGGGGAGGGAGGAAAGAATGAAGGGAGGAGAGGAAGGAAGGAAGGAAGGGAAGGAAGGAGAGGGAAGGGAGGAAAGGAGGGAGGAAGAAAGGAAGGTAGGAAGGAAAAAGGAGGGAGGGAATGTATGGAGGAAGGAAGGAGGAGAGGGAAGGAAGGAGGGGTGGGAGGAAAGAATGAAGGGAGGGATGGAGGAAGGAAGGGAAGGAAGAAAAGGGAGGGAGGGAATGGATGGAGGAAGGAAAGAATGAAGGAAGGAAAGAAAGAAAATGGATGGACAAAGTAATGAAGGTAAAGGAGGGAAGGAAGGGGATGGAAGGAAGGAAGGGAAGGGAAGGAAGGAGGAGGAGGGAGGAGGGAAGGAATTGAAAGGAGGGGAGGGAGTAAGGAAGGAAATGAAAGGAAGGGAGGAAGGAAATGAAAGGAGGGGAGGGAGGAAAGAAGGAAGGAAGCAAGGAAGGAAAGGAAAGGAAGGAAGGAAGGAAGGAATGGATGGAGGAAGGGATGAAGGGAGGGAAGGAAGGAATGAAAGGAGGAAGGAGGGGAGGGAAGAAGGAAGGAAGAAAAGGGAATGGATAGAGGAAGGGAGGAAGGGAATAGATGGAGGAAGGAAGGAAATGGAGTTTTTTTTTCTTAGTTTCTGTTATAAAATTTTGTAAATGAGTAATTTTTCTCCTTCACTGATGTGCGCTAATGAGGCTGCAGTGATGGGCACTGATAGGCGGCACTGATAAGCACTGATTAGGATGCACTGGTACGTGGCACTGATGGGCATTGACAGGTATTACTGGTGGGCATTGACAGACATCACTGATGGCCACTAAAAGGCAGTACTCATACACCCTGTTCCAAATTATTATGCAAATTCTATTTAAGTGTCACAAAGATTAAATATTTTGTTTTTCAGTGTAACTCATGGATGGCATTGTGTGTCAGGGTCTTTTGATCACTGAAAACAATCTCAGACACCTGTGATAATTAGATTGGCAGGTGAGCCCAATTTAAGGAAAAACTACTAAAGGAGGGTGTTCCACATTATTAAGCAGAGCACCATTTTCAAGCAATATGGGGAAGAAAAAAGGATCTCTCTGTTGCCGAAAAGAGTGAAATAGTTCAATGCCTTGGGCGAGGTATGAAAACATTAGATATTTCACGAAAACATAAGCGTGATCATCGCACTATTAAGAGATTTGTGGCTGATTCAGAGCACAGATGGGTTGGTGCAGATAAAGGCACATTGAGGAAGATTTCTGCCAGATCCATGCATCGGATCAAGAGAGCAGCTGCTAAAATACCATTACATAGCAGGAAACAGATATTTGAAGCTGCTGGTGCCTCTGGAGTCCCACGGACATCAAGGTGTAGAGTCCTCCAGAGTCTTGCAACTATGCATAAACCTTCTATTCGGCCACCACTAACCAATGCTCACAAGCAGAACGGCTGCATTGGGCAGAGAAATACATGAAGACTAATTTTCAAACAGTCCTGTTCACTGATGAGTGCCGTGCAACCCTGGATGGTCCAGATGGATGGAGTAGTGGATGGTTGGTGGACGGCCACCCTGTCCTAACAAGGCTGCGACGTCAGCAAGGCAGTGGTGGAGTCATGTTTTTGGGCCGGAATCATGGGAATAGAGCTGGTCGGCCCCTTTAGGGTCCCCAAAGTTGTAAAGATGACCTCTGCAAAGTATGTGGAGTTTATGACTGACCACTTTCTTCCCTGGTACAGAAGGAAGAACTACTGTATGCTTTCCATAATAAAATCATCTTCATGCATGACAATGCACCATCTCATGCTGCAAAGAATACCTCTGCATCAATGGCTGCTATGGGGATAAAAGGAGAGAAAGTCATTGTGTGGCCTCCATCCTCCCCTGACCTCAATCCTATTGAGAACCTTTGGAGCATCCTCAAGCAAAAGATCTATGAAGGTGGGAGGCAGTTTATATCCAAACAGCAGCTCTGGGAGGCTATTCTGACATCTTGCAAACAAATTCAAGCAGAAACTGTCCAAAAACTCACATGTTCAATGGATGCAAGACTTGTGAAGCTGCTATCAAATAAGGGGTCCTATGTTACAATGTAACGTGACCTGTTAAAATGTTTAAAAAGTTAAAATGTTGTTAAAAGTTTGATTGAAATAGCTTTTGATTTCAGTAAATATACTGCAAACACAACAAATGACAATTTTCAGTTCTTTACAACCTATAAAGTGTTTTGAAACTTGCTGTGTGTAATAATTTGGAACAGTGCATTGTAAGTTTTTTATGTTTAAAAAAAAATACTGTTATCATTAGGAGGTTTGTTCAATAAAATGTGAATTGTACTCTTAATAGTTTGATAACATATGCTATAATTATGCTGACTGTTATTTACATCAATTAGTTAGGTAAATGAGAAAAATATAATTTGCATAATAATTGGAACAGGGTGTATATGGCACTGATAGGCGACACCGATAGGTAGCACTGACTGGCACTGTTAGGTGGCACTGATGGGCACTGATAGGCAGCACTCATTGGCAGCACTCATAGGTGGCACTGACTGGCACTGATAGGCAGCTCAGATGGGCACTGATATGTGGCATTTATGTGTACTGGCAGGCACTGATATGTGGCATTTATGTGCACTGGTAGGCACTGATATGTGACATTTATGTGCACTGTTAGGCACTGATATGTGGCATTGATTGGCACTGATATGTGGCATTGATTAGCAATGATAT